GACACTGCCATGGGGGACACTGCCATGGGCGACATTACCAAAACAAGGCACGGGAGACACCGCCATGGGGACACTGCCATGGGGGACACTGCCATGGGGGACATTACCAAAACAAGGCATGGGGGACACTGCCATGGGGGACACTGCCAAAACGAGGCATGTGGGACACTGCCATGGGGGACACTGCCATGGGGGACATTACCAAAACAAGGCACCTCCCATGGGGGACACTGCCATGGGGCACTGCCATGGGGGACACTGCCAAAACAAGGCATGGGAGACACCGCCATGGGGGACATTACCAAAACAAGGCATGGGGGACACTGCCATGGGGGAAACTGCCATGGGGGACACTGCCATGGGGGACACTGCCATGGGGGAAACTGCCATGGGGGACACTGCCATGGGGGACACTGCCATGGGGGACATTACCAAAACAAGGCATGGGAGACACCGCCATGGGGGACATTACCAAAACAAGGCATGGGAGACACTGCCATGGGGGACATTACCAAAACAAGGCATGGGAGACACCGCCATGGGGGACACTGCTATGGGGGACACCGCCATGGGGGACATTACCAAAACAAGGCACGGGAGACACTGCCATGGGGGACATTACCTAAACAAGGCATGGGGGGGACACTGCCATGGGGGACACTGCCATGGGGGACACCGCCATGGGGGACACCGCCATGGGGACACTGCCATGGGGGACATTACCAAAACAAGGCATGGGGGACACTGGGCTGCTGTGAGCCCGCCCCTTTATAGAAAGGGGGCAGGGTTATCTATTCCTTGGGGTGTACATCACGCTCTAGGTTGTCACTTATTTCTAGTGGGGACATCCGCACTTCTCAGCCAATAGTTTGTGGCCAGATTGACATTTGTAGCTGCAAACCTGGATCTCATCTGTGCTCGGGGCCCTTCACATTGCACTCCCCCGGCATCCAGGACGCAGAGCCAGGGCCGCATACCATGCGTTGTGTCGGGCTGTCCACAGCCGATTCCTCTCCTCCTGGTCTCGGGCCCATTTGAAGTCTGAACCTCCATTCAACTGTGTGATCTCCCCTGTATAAAACAGAGCCCATCAATGTAAATTCAGCAGAAGCTAGGGGCCCATCGTCAACGGGGCCCATCGTCAACGGGGGCCCATCGTCAACGGGGCCCATCATCAACGGGGGCCCATCATCAACGGGGGCACATCATCAACGGGGGCCGCTCATCAACGGGGGCCCATCATCAACAGGGCCCATCATCAACGGGGGCCCCGCATCAACGGGGGCCCATCATCAACGGGGGCCCATCATCAACGGGGCCCATCATCAACGGGGGCCCATCATCAACGGGGCCCATCATCAACGGGGGCCCATCATCAACGGGGGCCCATCGTCAACGGGGGCCCATCGTCAACGGGGGCCCATCGTCAACGGGGCCCATCATCAACGGGGGCCCATCATCAACGGGGGCACATCATCAACGGGGGCCGCTCATCAACGGGGGCCCCTCATCAACAGGGGGCCCATCATCAACGGGGGCCCCGCATCAACGGGGGCCCATCATCAACGGGGCCCATCATCAACGGGGGCCCATCATCAACGGGGCCCATCATCAACGGGGGCCCATCATCAACGGGGGCCCATCGTCAACGGGGGCCCATCGTCAACGGGGGCCCATCGTCAACGGGGCCCATCATCAACGGGGGCCCATCATCAACGGGGGCACATCATCAACGGGGGCCGCTCATCAACGGGGGCCCCTCATCAACAGGGGGCCCATCATCAACGGGGGCCCCGCATCAACGGGGGCCCATCATCAACGGGGCCCATCATCAACGGGGGCCCATCATCAACGGGGCCCATCATCAACGGGGGCCCATCATCAACGGGGGCCCATCGTCAACGGGGGCCCATCGTCAACGGGGGCCCATCGTCAACGGGGCCCATCATCAACGGGGGCCCATCATCAACGGGGGCACATCATCAACGGGGGCCGCTCATCAACGGGGGCCCCTCATCAACAGGGGGCCCATCATCAACGGGGGCCCCGCATCAACGGGGGCCCATCATCAACGGGGCCCATCATCAACGGGGGCCCATCATCAACGGGGCCCATCATCAACGGGGGCCCATCATCAACGGGGGCCCATCGTCAACGGGGGCCCATCGTCAACGGGGGCCCATCGTCAACGGGGCCCATCATCAACGGGGGCCCATCATCAACGGGGGCACATCATCAACGGGGGCCGCTCATCAACGGGGGCCCCTCATCAACAGGGGGCCCATCATCAACGGGGGCCCCGCATCAACGGGGGCCCATCATCAACGGGGCCCATCATCAACGGGGGCCCATCATCAACGGGGCCCATCATCAACGGGGGCCCATCATCAACGGGGGCCCATCGTCAACGGGGGCCCATCGTCAACGGGGGCCCATCGTCAACGGGGCCCATCATCAACGGGGGCCCATCATCAACGGGGGCACATCATCAACGGGGGCCGCTCATCAACGGGGGCCCCTCATCAACAGGGGGCCCATCATCAACGGGGGCCCCGCATCAACGGGGGCCCATCATCAACGGGGCCCATCATCAACGGGGGCCCATCATCAACGGGGCCCATCATCAACGGGGGCCCATCATCAACGGGGGCCCATCGTCAACGGGGGCCCATCGTCAACGGGGGCCCATCGTCAACGGGGCCCATCATCAACGGGGGCCCATCATCAACGGGGGCACATCATCAACGGGGGCCGCTCATCAACGGGGGCCCCTCATCAACAGGGGGCCCATCATCAACGGGGGCCCCGCATCAACGGGGGCCCATCATCAACGGGGCCCATCATCAACGGGGGCCCATCATCAACGGGGCCCATCATCAACGGGGGCCCATCATCAACGGGGGCCCATCGTCAACGGGGGCCCATCGTCAACGGGGGCCCATCGTCAACGGGGCCCATCATCAACGGGGGCCCATCATCAACGGGGGCACATCATCAACGGGGGCCGCTCATCAACGGGGGCCCCTCATCAACAGGGGGCCCATCATCAACGGGGGCCCCGCATCAACGGGGGCCCATCATCAACGGGGCCCATCATCAACGGGGGCCCATCATCAACGGGGCCCATCATCAACGGGGGCCCATCATCAACGGGGGCCCATCGTCAACGGGGGCCCATCGTCAACGGGGGCCCATCGTCAACGGGGCCCATCATCAACGGGGGCCCATCATCAACGGGGGCACATCATCAACGGGGGCCGCTCATCAACGGGGGCCCCTCATCAACAGGGGGCCCATCATCAACGGGGGCCCCGCATCAACGGGGGCCCATCATCAACGGGGCCCATCATCAACGGGGGCCCATCATCAACGGGGCCCATCATCAACGGGGGCCCATCATCAACGGGGGCCCATCGTCAACGGGGGCCCATCGTCAACGGGGGCCCATCGTCAACGGGGCCCATCATCAACGGGGGCCCATCATCAACGGGGGCACATCATCAACGGGGGCCGCTCATCAACGGGGGCCCCTCATCAACAGGGGGCCCATCATCAACGGGGGCCCCGCATCAACGGGGGCCCATCATCAACGGGGCCCATCATCAACGGGGGCCCATCATCAACGGGGCCCATCATCAACGGGGGCCCATCATCAACGGGGGCCCATCGTCAACGGGGGCCCATCGTCAACGGGGGCCCATCGTCAACGGGGCCCATCATCAACGGGGGCCCATCATCAACGGGGGCACATCATCAACGGGGGCCGCTCATCAACGGGGGCCCCTCATCAACAGGGGGCCCATCATCAACGGGGGCCCCGCATCAACGGGGGCCCATCATCAACGGGGCCCATCATCAACGGGGGCCCATCATCAACGGGGCCCATCATCAACGGGGGCCCATCATCAACGGGGGCCCATCGTCAACGGGGGCCCATCGTCAACGGGGGCCCATCGTCAACGGGGCCCATCATCAACGGGGGCCCATCATCAACGGGGGCACATCATCAACGGGGGCCGCTCATCAACGGGGGCCCCTCATCAACAGGGGGCCCATCATCAACGGGGGCCCCGCATCAACGGGGGCCCATCATCAACGGGGCCCATCATCAACGGGGGCCCATCATCAACGGGGCCCATCATCAACGGGGGCCCATCATCAACGGGGGCCCATCGTCAACGGGGGCCCATCGTCAACGGGGGCCCATCGTCAACGGGGCCCATCATCAACGGGGGCCCATCATCAACGGGGGCACATCATCAACGGGGGCCGCTCATCAACGGGGGCCCCTCATCAACAGGGGGCCCATCATCAACGGGGGCCCCGCATCAACGGGGGCCCATCATCAACGGGGCCCATCATCAACGGGGGCCCATCATCAACGGGGCCCATCATCAACGGGGGCCCATCATCAACGGGGGCCCATCGTCAACGGGGGCCCATCGTCAACGGGGGCCCATCGTCAACGGGGCCCATCATCAACGGGGGCCCATCATCAACGGGGGCACATCATCAACGGGGGCCGCTCATCAACGGGGGCCCCTCATCAACAGGGGGCCCATCATCAACGGGGGCCCCGCATCAACGGGGGCCCATCATCAACGGGGCCCATCATCAACGGGGGCCCATCATCAACGGGGCCCATCATCAACGGGGGCCCATCATCAACGGGGGCCCATCGTCAACGGGGGCCCATCGTCAACGGGGGCCCATCGTCAACGGGGCCCATCATCAACGGGGGCCCATCATCAACGGGGGCACATCATCAACGGGGGCCGCTCATCAACGGGGGCCCCTCATCAACAGGGGGCCCATCATCAACGGGGGCCCCGCATCAACGGGGGCCCATCATCAACGGGGCCCATCATCAACGGGGGCCCATCATCAACGGGGCCCATCATCAACGGGGGCCCATCATCAACGGGGGAGGGGGACACTGCCATGGGGGACATTACCAAAACAAGGCATGGTGGACACCGACATGGGGGACATTACCAAAACAAGGCATGGGGACACTGCCATGGGGGGCATTACCAAAACAAGGCATGGGGGACACTGCCATGGGGGACACTGCCATGGGGGACATTACCAAAACAAGGCATGGTGGACACCGACATGGGGGACATTACCAAAACAAGGCATGGGGACACTGCCATGGGGGACATTACCAAAACAAGGCATGGGGGACACTGCCATGGGGGACACTGCCATGGGGGACATTACCAAAACAAGGCACGGGGGACACTGCCATGGGGGACACTGCCATGGGCGACATTACCAAAACAAGGCACGGGAGACACCGCCATGGGGACACTGCCATGGGGGACATTACCAAAACAAGGCATGGGGGACACTGCCATGGGGGACACTGCCATGGGCGACATTACCAAAACAAGGCACGGGAGACACCGCCATGGGGGACATTACCAAAACAAGGCATGGGAGACACTGCCATGGGGGACATTACCAAAACAAGGCATGGGAGACACCGCCATGGGGGACACTGCTATGGGGGACACCGCCATGGGGGACATTACCAAAACAAGGCACGGGAGACACTGCCATGGGGGACATTACCTAAACAAGGCATGGGGGACACTGCCATGGGGGACACTGCCATGGGGGACACCGCCATGGGGGACACCGCCATGGGGACACTGCCATGGGGACACTGCCATGGGGGACATTACCAAAACAAGGCATGGGGGACACTGCCATGGGGGACATTCCATAACAAAGGCATGGGGGGGACACTGCCATGGGGGACACTGCCATGGGGGACACCGCCATGGGGGACACCGCCATGGGGACACTGCCATGGGGGACATTACCAAAACAAGGCATGGGGGACACTGGGCTGCTGTGAGCCCGCCCCTTTATAGAAAGGGGGCAGGGTTATCTATTCCTTGGGGTGTACATCACGCTCTAGGTTGTCACTTATTTCTAGTGGGGACATCCGCACTTCTCAGCCAATAGTTTGTGGCCAGATTGACATTTGTAGCTGCAAACCTGGATCTCATCTGTGCTCGGGGCCCTTCACATTGCACTCACCCGGCATCCAGGACGCAGAGCCAGGGCCGCATACCATGCGTTGTGTCGGGCTGTCCACAGCCGATTCCTCTCCTCCTGGTCTCGGGCCCATTTGAAGTCTGAACCTCCATTCAACTGTGTGATCTCCCCTGTATAAAACAGAGCCCATCAATGTAAATTCAGCAGAAGCTAGGGGCCCATCGTCAACGGGGCCCATCGTCAACGGGGGCCCATCGTCAACGGGGCCCATCATCAACGGGGGCCCATCATCAACGGGGGCACATCATCAACGGGGGCCGCTCATCAACGGGGGCCCATCATCAACAGGGCCCATCATCAACGGGGGCCCCGCATCAACGGGGGCCCATCATCAACGGGGGCCCATCATCAACGGGGCCCATCATCAACGGGGGCCCATCATCAACAGGGCCCCTCATCTACGGGGCCCATCATCTACGGGGGCCCATCATCAACGGGGCCCCTCTACCTGTTTCCATCTACCTGTCTGTTGTAGTTGCTCCTTTACGGTGGTTTCGTTGCCGTGGAACTCCAGGAACAAGGTGGGTGAGACGGGATAATTCAAACCATTAAATTTATTACACGCATCAATCATGACATCGTCCAAGAACTCTGCGCGGAGACATAAAACATGTCAATGTCAGTGCGTGTTCATGACTAGAGAACATGCGTCATGCAGCTCACCGATATATAACCAGCACGGGGCGCCCATGGCACAGCAAGAGAACATGCGTCATGCAGCTCACCGATATATAACCAGCACGGGGCGCCCATGGCACAGCAAGAGAACATGCGTCATGCAGCTCACCGATATATAACCAGCACGGGGCGCCCATGGCACAGCAAGAGAACATGCGTCATGCAGCTCACCGATATATAACCAGCACGGGGCGCCCATGGCACAGCAAGAGAACATGCGTCATGCAGCTCACCGATATATAACCAGCACGGGGCGCCCATGGCACAGCAAGAGAACATGCGTCATGCAGCTCACCGATATATAACCAGCACGGGGCGCCCATGGCACAGCAAGAGAACATGCGTCATGCAGCTCACCGATATATAACCAGCACGGGGCGCCCATGGCACAGCAAGAGAACATGCGTCATGCAGCTCACCGATATATAACCAGCACGGGGCGCCCATGGCACAGCAAGAGAACATGCGTCATGCAGCTCACCGATATATAACCAGCACGGGGCGCCCATGGCACAGCAAGAGAACATGCGTCATGCAGCTCACCGATATATAACCAGCACGGGGCGCCCATGGCACAGCAAGAGAACATGCGTCATGCAGCTCACCGATATATAACCAGCACGGGGCGCCCATGGCACAGCAAGAGAACATGCGTCATGCAGCTCACCGATATATAACCAGCACGGGGCGCCCATGGCACAGCAAGAGAACATGCGTCATGCAGCTCACCGATATATAACCAGCACGGGGCGCCCATGGCACAGCAAGAGAACATGCGTCATGCAGCTCACCGATATATAACCAGCACGGGGCGCCCATGGCACAGCAAGAGAACATGCGTCATGCAGCTCACCGATATATAACCAGCACGGGGCGCCCATGGCACAGCAAGAGAACATGCGTCATGCAGCTCACCGATATATAACCAGCACGGGGCGCCCATGGCACAGCAAGAGAACATGCGTCATGCAGCTCACCGATATATAACCAGCACGGGGCGCCCATGGCACAGCAAGAGAACATGCGTCATGCAGCTCACCGATATATAACCAGCACGGGGCGCCCATGGCACAGCAAGAGAACATGCGTCATGCAGCTCACCGATATATAACCAGCACGGGGCGCCCATGGCACAGCAAGAGAACATGCGTCATGCAGCTCACCGATATATAACCAGCACGGGGCGCCCATGGCACAGCAAGAGAACATGCGTCATGCAGCTCACCGATATATAACCAGCACGGGGCGCCCATGGCACAGCAAGAGAACATGCGTCATGCAGCTCACCGATATATAACCAGCACGGGGCGCCCATGGCACAGCAAGAGAACATGCGTCATGCAGCTCACCGATATATAACCAGCACGGGGCGCCCATGGCACAGCAAGAGAACATGCGTCATGCAGCTCACCGATATATAACCAGCACGGGGCGCCCATGGCACAGCAAGAGAACATGCGTCATGCAGCTCACCGATATATAACCAGCACGGGGCGCCCATGGCACAGCAAGAGAACATGCGTCATGCAGCTCACCGATATATAACCAGCACGGGGCGCCCATGGCACAGCAAGAGAACATGCGTCATGCAGCTCACCGATATATAACCAGCACGGGGCGCCCATGGCACAGCAAGAGAACATGCGTCATGCAGCTCACCGATATATAACCAGCACGGGGCGCCCATGGCACAGCAAGAGAACATGCGTCATGCAGCTCACCGATATATAACCAGCACGGGGCGCCCATGGCACAGCAAGAGAACATGCGTCATGCAGCTCACCGATATATAACCAGCACGGGGCGCCCATGGCACAGCAAGAGAACATGCGTCATGCAGCTCACCGATATATAACCAGCACGGGGCGCCCATGGCACAGCAAGAGAACATGCGTCATGCAGCTCACCGATATATAACCAGCACGGGGCGCCCATGGCACAGCAAGAGAACATGCGTCATGCAGCTCACCGATATATAACCAGCACGGGGCGCCCATGGCACAGCAAGAGAACATGCGTCATGCAGCTCACCGATATATAACCAGCACGGGGCGCCCATGGCACAGCAAGAGAACATGCGTCATGCAGCTCACCGATATATAACCAGCACGGGGCGCCCATGGCACAGCAAGAGAACATGCGTCATGCAGCTCACCGATATATAACCAGCACGGGGCGCCCATGGCACAGCAAGAGAACATGCGTCATGCAGCTCACCGATATATAACCAGCACGGGGCGCCCATGGCACAGCAAGAGAACATGCGTCATGCAGCTCACCGATATATAACCAGCACGGGGCGCCCATGGCACAGCAAGAGAACATGCGTCATGCAGCTCACCGATATATAACCAGCACGGGGCGCCCATGGCACAGCAAGAGAACATGCGTCATGCAGCTCACCGATATATAACCAGCACGGGGCGCCCATGGCACAGCAAGAGAACATGCGTCATGCAGCTCACCGATATATAACCAGCACGGGGCGCCCATGGCACAGCAAGAGAACATGCGTCATGCAGCTCACCGATATATAACCAGCACGGGGCGCCCATGGCACAGCAAGAGAACATGCGTCATGCAGCTCACCGATATATAACCAGCACGGGGCGCCCATGGCACAGCAAGAGAACATGCGTCATGCAGCTCACCGATATATAACCAGCACGGGGCGCCCATGGCACAGCAAGAGAACATGCGTCATGCAGCTCACCGATATATAACCAGCACGGGGCGCCCATGGCACAGCAAGAGAACATGCGTCATGCAGCTCACCGATATATAACCAGCACGGGGCGCCCATGGCACAGCAAGAGAACATGCGTCATGCAGCTCACCGATATATAACCAGCACGGGGCGCCCATGGCACAGCAAGAGAACATGCGTCATGCAGCTCACCGATATATAACCAGCACGGGGCGCCCATGGCACAGCAAGAGAACATGCGTCATGCAGCTCACCGATATATAACCAGCACGGGGCGCCCATGGCACAGCAAGAGAACATGCGTCATGCAGCTCACCGATATATAACCAGCACGGGGCGCCCATGGCACAGCAAGAGAACATGCGTCATGCAGCTCACCGATATATAACCAGCACGGGGCGCCCATGGCACAGCAAGAGAACATGCGTCATGCAGCTCACCGATATATAACCAGCACGGGGCGCCCATGGCACAGCAAGAGAACATGCGTCATGCAGCTCACCGATATATAACCACACGGGGCGCCCATGGCACAGCCAGTCAGCTGACGGAGGAACAATGGCGGTAAAGCTGCATTCATGGCTTCTGCGCTCAGTCACATAACTCACCAATTCTGGCGATAGGGATTCCGCATTGCAGGATCTGCACCGTGCTGTCCACGGCCGCCTGGACACTCGGGAAGGCGCACACAGCCGCCACCGTGGCCTCCGGCACCCCATACAGGCGCAGTGTGGCCTTGGTTATGATGCCCAGCGTCCCCTCCGAGCCCACAAAGAGGTTGGTAAGGTTGTAACCCGCTGAGGTTTTCCTGCGGAAGGAAAAAGGGAAATGTTTCACTAAATATAATAATGATCAGAGTTCCGGAGAGTTCCGGAGAGTTCCAGAGAGTTCCGGAGGGTTCCGGAGAGTTCCAGAGAGTTCCAGAGGGTTCCGGAGGGTTCCAAAGGGTTCCGGAGGGTTCCGGAGAGTTCCAGAGAGTTCCAGAGAGTTCCAGAGAGTTCCGGAGAGTTCCAGAGAGTTCCGGAGGGTTCCGGAGAGTTCCGGAGAGTTCCAGAGAGTTCCAGAGAGTTCCAGAGAGTTCCAGAGAGTTCCAGAG